AAAAGGTTCTTATTATCACTGGTTTAGGCTGTAAGCAAAGATTATCAGAGTGAAGTCTTCCAAGTTCCTTTAATTTAAAACAATCACATGATGGAGCGCTTCTCTGCCACAGAGAAAGCTAAACTTGAGTCTTTTGTAGGAAAATGGATGCCTCTGAAGACCATAGTTTAAAGTGAAATAAATCAGACGCACAAAAGTAAGTATCACATGGATCCTCTTATACAAGAAACCCAGAGTAAAAATAAAGAGCAAAATAAAAGACAGACAACCGGAAGTAGGGAGGTAGATTGTTCTCAAAGGGGGAGGGGATCAAGAGGTGGAGGGAATGGGGAAGGCGGGAAGGGATAGGTGATTAGAAACAGGAAGTGGGGTGTGTTATGTACACGTGCCAGCTCCACACAAGGAATGGAAACATTATGTCCCACAAATATGTACCAAAAAAAGAAAAAAGGAAAAGGAACCAAGAGATGAGTGGAGGGAGGGAAGGGAAGGGAAAGGATATGAAGAAAGGAATTAAGAAGTGTACACACCAACTTTCCCCAAGGGATGTAAGCATTACGTACCACACACATGTACTAACCAACTAAAACAAAAGGAAGAAAGATAAAGCAGTCAGCACACTGGGTGCTGGTCCCTGAGCTCACTCATCATGCAGCTAGCAGAAGGAGGGTTCACACCTGCCTTTTGAGTTCTCGCTCACAGCCCTTCATCCCCCGCATTGCCTCTTCCACAGCTGTGCTGGTCTCTGATCATCCACTCACCCCTTTGGCAACTCCCCTGCTCTGCTCTCCAGTGTGTCTGTCTAGCTCCTCTCAGCCCGCTAGTCTCAGCCTCCCGTGTCCACACATCTCCATTACTGCGCATAGGACTGGCTTCAGCAGAGCTGGCTGGTGCTGCTGGTGTCCTGGCTTTCCAAACTCCTGGTCATCTCTCCACCTGGTTTCTGACCCCCAACTTTAGTCCACTCCAGGTCTGACAGCCTCAGGTTTTGGCTCCGTCTCTACGCTTCATGCTCACGTTTGCTAGAGACTTGCCCATGAAGCTGGGCCATGTTGGTGGGAGCTGGGCCAGGCAGCAGGTCATTAGCCAATGACTGCTCCACAGAGGTGCCAAACCAGATGCGCGAGGCAAAGTTAGAAGCCAGAATGTAGAGCAAAAGGTGCATCTGATGCAGCTGGGTGGGGTGCGGATGGGGACAGGAATGTGTGCAAAGGTCAGCTGTGCAGAAGCCAAGGGAACATGCCCCACAAAAGCAGCTGAGACTGGTAGTTCTGGAGGTCATTTCATGAGGGCTGGACATCTGCCATGGGGTATTCTACACAAGCACGACCAAGTGTGTTTTGCCGACCCTTCAATCTTGTTATCTTGCAGGAGGTTGGGGAAGCCAGAAACAGTCTAAGAGGGAGAAATGGGAAGGAGTTCCACAGTTGGTTCTACTCCTGGTTCCCCAGAAAGAGTGCAGCAGACCACTCAGGACCACTCTGGGAAGCTCCAGCGCTGGTCACCAGGCTGAGAGAAATGAACCATTGTGGATTCTGTGGGAGGGAACAGGGCAGGTAGGGAAGCAAGGTTAGGATTGGTTAGTCTGAGTGATTTCAGCAGACTCTGGAGCCCTGGGGGTAGGCCTGGTGCTCTCACATGTTATTCCCAGTACAGCCAGGGTGGGTACGCGGGGTCCTGGAGTGGGAGAGCCCCATAGGGAGGAGATTGGGGATGTGGGCTTAACTGGCTGCTTGAAAAAGAGAACTGACCAGTGTTCAGCCAGTGCCTCAAAAGTGGTTTAAGACAGCATTCATAAAAATGATATTACAACTGGATTGGAAAGGACTCCTGAAGAAAATTGTTTTAATTGCACAAGTAGTACATAGAGGTTGAATTCAGTGAAAACTGATTTTAAAAAGTGACTTCCCAATGTCACAGGGGAAACTACTATTAGTACACAAGTACTTTTCCAGAACTTTGGCTATGTTAATAGGAAATGTTTACCCATAAACACTCATGCATATACATATCATTTTCTAGTTTGTAATAACAATAAAAATAGGATTGTACTGTGACATGTTTCTTTTTAAAATCTTAATAAAATATCATGGCCATATTCCACATTGATTTATAAGGTTGACATCATTCTTTAATGTCTGCATAGTATTACATAATATGGCACAACCATAATGTATTACTAATCATTCTTATGCTAATTAATGTTTATGTTGCCTTCTACTGTTTACAATTACATTGACACGGTAAACACTGTTCACATTTGCACGACTTTTCTGGGGCATAAATTTCTATAAGTGAAATTTTTGAATCAAAATTATACGCATTTTCAATTTAATTAGGAACTATTCAATTTCTCTCTAAGAAGATTACATCAGTTTATATTCTCATATCAGTTTATGAGGAGACATTAGACATTATTGATCTTCATTTTTCCAATCTAATTGGTGGAAAAAGTGACTTTGTTTTAATTTGTATACATCTGATCACCAGGGATGTATTAGGTCTTTTTAAATATTATTGATAGTTGAATATACTCATCTATAAATTAACTCATCTCCATTAAAATTTTTTTCTTTGTACATTAAGAATATTAACAACTCACTATAAAATTATAAATATTTTTATTAGGACCTATTTCTGGTTTCCTCAGTCTCTTGGTAGCTGGAGGACTGGGTAGAGGTGTTGTGGGTTCAAGTCACTGATTAAGTAGCTCCTAACATTTTGAGTATGAGTCTCTTTGAGGTTCTAACAAAGCTATGGAATCCACACACAATTTTGATTATGATTTCAGAGATTTTCCAGAGTCCCTGAAACCCATCTACTGCTTAAAAACCTTTCTACTGTGTGGATAGACATCTGATCTAGGTAAATGTTTCCAGTGATTTCTGTCATTAAATGTGTACTCCTGATGATCTCCTGTGCTCAATTTACCTGAGAAATTTACCTGCCCCTTCCTAGAAGAGCAGCCTCCTCTACTGAATGCTCAAGCTCTGTCTAATCTCTCAGAGCCAGGCGGATGGCAGCCAGTGCTCCGTACAAGACCCATCAGAGCTGGAGGGTGAAGTGTGATTGTGGGCCAGGTGCCAAAACTGCAAGAGACAGGAATCTGCCCACCTGCAAAGAGCCCGTAATGAAGGACGATAGCTCTAGCAGTGTGATTCTACAAGGACTCTGGAGGGGAGGAGTGAGGAACTTGGAAGTTCAAGGCCTCTTCTGGGAAAACCAATAGATGAGCATTGAGTAAAAAGATCTGAGGGGCCTCTCCAGAGTGTTAGTTCTCCCTGAGTGCCGGAAATGAAGAGTGCTCCATTACAGGTACCGCAGGTCCTTGCACATCCGGGAACTTCAAAGCAGATGCAAACATCCTCCGTGGTTATGTCTCTGTCTGATGAAAAAACTTCCTGGGCAAATCTAATCAATACTCCCAGATGCGCGAAGAGGGCTGCTCTCAGCTTGAGAAATGTTAGCTTTAAATGGTTCTGATTGCTTTCCACAGGGCTTTGACTACAAAAGGGTCAGGTTGGAGCATAAAGATCGGCACATTTAGCCCTTGAATTTGGTAATATCATCTAAACACCCCCAAAGGGGATTCAAATACGGTCTCAAGCAGGCTCAGCCTCCTCCTATGGATCTGGCTCCTCCATTTCCTATCTTCACCTCTGATTTCCCTCAGGTATCTATCTATATGCAACTATCAAACATTTTGACTATTTGTGCCTCCAAATATAACTAAGCTTGATCATAATCCTGTCTAGAAAAATAATTAACCAAGATTCAACTCTTAGAGGAATATGGAGAATGAACCACCCTGCCTCCCAAAATGTAGGTCAATCTAATTTTAGCAGTAGGCTTCATTTCTCCCAATCAAGATCCCATTTGTTGAATTTCCTGTTTCTCATAAAGCATTTCAAGTGAAGAGGAGCAAGATTCGTACCTGCAGAGGACGTCTGGATGAAGTGAAGAAGGGCTGCTTGAGTTTCAGGCATAAACAGGCTGCTGCTGGAGAGAGTACTTAAAAAATACCATCCAGTCCTTGCTGAGCATAATGCCTGCCCTGGACGAACTTCCATTTTAAGGTTTTAATGACTAAAATACATGGACTTAACAGTCGCTAAGTGCCAGTCAGTGCACTTTTAGGTGAAGCATTTGCTTCCTGTGCCAATCTAACTCATAGCAAGCCCATACATAAATAAGCCCTGTTAGGAATTCAGTCCAGAAGGAATGTGTCTTTTGTTTTTGTGGGTATTAAATCTTGACAGTAATAGTGAGGTTGTATTATGTTGATTGTGGATTATCCTAACAAACTACCCAAAGTGGAAACTTCATAAAAGAGGTTATTTTAGTTCATTGTTCTGCAGGTCCGAGACTGAGAGGGTATGTCTAGCAGTGACTTTCTTGCTGGCAGAATCCCAAAGCCATGGTGAGCACTGCATGGTGAGAGGAGGGGTGCATGTGTGTGGCACTGCAGACTGTACTTCCCTGTTCTTCTTATAAAGCCCCTCGTATTTAATCTTGGGGGCTCCACCTTAATGACCTTATCTAATCCTAATGACCTCCCAAAGGCCACACCACTAATTACTATGATTAGATTAAGTTTTCTCCTCTTGATATGTCACAGTGGGGATTAAATTTCAGCACACGAACTCTTGGGGGACGCACTCCAGCCCTACTTAACCCTTAATGTACATTACGCTTAATCTACAAATTCATATGAATCACCGCCCACAGTTTTTGTTTTTTATCTTGAAATTTACTCAAAGACAAATAAACTGACAGCCACTGAGACTGCATTCTAGAAATAAGAACATTCTAGAAATACCTATCTCCAATGTTTATTCCTATATATCTATACCCTAGGAAATCTGATATAAATTTCTGTTTTTCTTCCTCACCAGACAAAAGAGAACCTGTAGTCAGTGGGTCAAAGAGAATAATCTCTGTTCTGGTCTGACCTGAATCTTTTTTCTTGAGATTGTTGCTGGGTGTCTTGTGATGTTATCATTTAAGTTGGAACATTTTTTTCTTCTTTAATTTGCAGGAAATCATTAGGTCATCTTACATTTTCTAACAACTCATTTCTTCTCCCCATTTCTACCTTGGCTCTGTGGCTGTATTCTCTTCATTCTCCACTGCAATCAGCATTTTTCATGCTGTGAAGACAGAAGAGGAATTTTAAATTTCTTTCACTGGAAAAGTTACTTCTTACTTGGTGTATAAAATGAGAATTAATTTCCTCACCTTCCTTTCTTCCTGGAGCAGAAGTATGTAACACAATTAAACATTTTCCCTTAACACCATTGTAAAACACTTGTAATTACATTAAACTACAGTAACCTAAGAAGGGTTCCTCCTTAACATATTATACCATAATGTATAGGGCAATAGGCAAATCTGGATAAGTAGTATTTTTAATAATATACATTTTTAGTAAGCCCAAGTGTTTTTGTTATCTTTCTGTTGCTGTCATGAAACACCTGAGATAATCATGAATTTAGAGGGTTCAGTCCATGGTCACTTATCTATTTTGCATTGGGAATGTGGAGGCACAGTACATCATGATGGGAGCATGTGCTGAAGGACGCATCTGCTGTCTATCTCAGAGCCATCAGGAAGTTAAGAGAGAAAGAAGGCACTGTGGTTCCAATATCTCCTTCCAGGCCAAACCCCTTCTAACCCAACTTCCTCCCAATAGGCTTCATCTCCTAAAGGTTCTACCATCTCCTAATAGTGCCATAGTCTAAGGACCAGTACTTTAGCATATGGGCACTTGTGGGACATTCCAGATTCAAATCATAGCACTGAGCAGCCCTGCACCATTGTCGTTAGAATCTTTGGGGCTAGCCCTGGGAGTTCTTATATGTGGCTAATCTCTCTACTGATTTGCTATGTGTAGCTAACCAGGTACAAGTATAAAACTTGCCTAGTTTACAATAGCAAAGTATGTGCATGGAGTACATTGCATAACACTCAGATCACAAAAGCAGAGAAAAGCTTCCCTTTCCTGAGATTAGGGGACAATGTACAGAACAATGGGTATTTTAGAGCCATCTGAAAGAGAGAAGCTCATGGAAGAGGTCTATTATAGGCCGCAGTGGAGCCAGGGGAGGTCCAGAAGTGGGCATGGGGTAAAGGGGAGTTCAGTGCATAACCTGGGAAGAATGAAGAGGGCAGCCTGGCTTGCTCCAGGATTTGTAATCCCACATCTTCTGCTACTCCCAATCTTTGATGAGAAAGTGCTTTCATCCCCAAAGTCATAAACTCAGGCAGAGAGAAGGCCTGTGTTGATAGTAACATAGTTCCCAAGCAGAGGAGAGAGTGGCCCTGGATGGAATGGTAGCTCCTGCTTAAACAACCCATCACAAGGCTCTCCAAGGCCACCGAAAACTCTTGCATATTAGAATCACCTGGATGCTTTTACCTATGTGGCATGTTGGCTCCCAATATTCTTATTTAGTTGGTCTGGAGTAAGGTGGGGACCAAACAGGTGTTTTTTGAGAGTTCCCAGGCAATTCTAATGTGCAGCCAGAGTTGAGAACCACCCAGCTGGCCAATTGGAACCAACTAGGTGGGAAATTCTTTTTTGACCATGTGGTTCAATTTCCTGATCTGCCCTCAAGCATGTTGCTGAGCTGAGATGATTCTCAGTCCTCTGCTTCTGCATCAGGGATCTGGTTCTCTTTCTAAGCCCCCCTGTTGCTCCTTCCCATAGGTTTTCCTTCATATCTTTGCTGTTGTGCTTTGGTTCCTGTGGGCCCAGATCTCTGCTAAGTGACAAAGAGTGCTAATTGCTTAATAAGATAAACTAATTGCTGTTAACACTACCTGGCTAAAGCATTTCCCACGCAAGCAAAATAGTGCCTCAAGCCTGTGCTCCCCGAGGAGCAGTGCCTACTATGGGAATTTCTGGCAGGGCTAGCAGTGAGCAACAGGGCTTTGCAGTTCCTCCAGGCCCACCATAGGAGGCCACATCTTTGGGGAGAAGTGGAGACTGAATAAAGAAAAAGAGCTCTCTCCTTACATAGCTGTGTGAACCTGGGCCATTGCTTGGTGTTTTTGTGATTCAAGAGAGCAATACTTTCCTACTAAATTCTTGTTAAAGGTCTACTCAAAGGTATTGGATATTATAGGTGGTCTACAAATACTAGTTTCCATTTTTCCTCTTTCCAATGGCCAGATCCAAATGTATCTTTTGGGGAACACATCTTACTTTTAACACAGGGAAATCAAATCTGTAGCCAAGCAAGGTCTCTCTCATCCTGCACTTGTATATATAGTTAAATCTTTCATCAGGCTTTTCTGCTGTAAAATATATGTGACATAAACTTTACCATCTTACCTATTTTAAGGGTAAAATTCAGTGGAATTAAGTATATTCATATCATCATGAAACCGTCACCACTGAATCATGCATCCACGTTCAGAATTTTTCTCCTTGTAAAACTGCAACTCAGTACTGATTTATGTTAGTCAGCTTTCCATCCTTGTGACAAAGTACCTGAGACAATCACTTTATAATGAAGTAAGGTATACTTTGGCTCATCATTTCAGTCCATGGTGACTTGGCCCTTTGCTTTGGGCCTGTGGTGAAGCAGTTCGTCATGGCAAGGATAGATTGGGTCAGGGCCCAATATCCCCTTCAAGAAAACATTTCCAAGGACCTAACTTCCTCCTACTGTGCCCCACATCTTAAAGGTTCTACCACCTCCAAATAGTACAATAAGCTGGCGACTAAGGCTTTAATACACTGGCCTTTGGGGGACACTTAACAAAACCATAGCACTGTTAAAAAGTGATTCCCCATTCCTTCCTCCCTCAAGACCCTGGAAACTACCATTCTACTTTCTGTCTATATGAGTTGGACTACTCTATGTGCCTCCTACACGTGGAATCATAGTGCCATTACTTTTTAGATTTGAAGATTGACTTTTATGTTTCTTCTTGTTAAGTTTTCCCTTGGTTTATTATTATTATTATTATTATTATTATTATTATTATTATTAATTATTATTAATTAATATTATTACTGCCAGGGTTTCAGTCTTTCCAGAGCTCTGGACCCAGACTTTCTTAGATGATACATTAGCTAGCATTTCCAGTCTGGGTCTTGTGGAGAGAGAGACAGAGGGCTCTCAGTGTCGTTATCAGAATCATAGACAACATTTTTGAACAGAGTCAAAAGATAAAGTTTTTTTCTACCCCAAAACCTTAGTACGATCATCATAAATTAACCAATGTCTGATTCTATAGTTTCAAATCAACCAAACTGCCCCTACCCGGTTCAGCTTACAATTGTGTACATAATTTCTTTTTCAAGCTAGGCTTGCTTTTTTTTTTTTTTTCTGGTTGTTTTGTTTCGTTTCTTGAGACAGAGTCTTACTAGATAGTCCAGACTGGTCTTGAATTCATCTGTAGCCTAGGCTGACCCAAACTCATGGCAATCCTGCCTCAGCCTCCTGATTGCTGGGATTATAGGCATGTACCACCATGTCCGGTGAGTCCACAATTTTTTCATCATTACATTCTGTAGCAGAAATCAAATTCTTGCCCAACTTTCATTTTTTTTTCTTCTTAGTAACAGAACCATAATGTTCAGTTCCAATAAACCCAGCATCTCTCAAAGCCAGATGTGGCCACATGTCTCCATTCTGGTCAATGAATTATAGGTAGAACTGTTTAGCAGTACTTCAGGAAAATCTCCCTTAAAAGTAAGTGACTCAGCTAGGAGGAGCTGGGCCCCTCGTCTTTCCTTAGGTGTCTGTAATGGTGGAGCTTCCAGTAGCCATCTTGGTCATGAGATGACCTTGAGAATGAAGGGAAAAGAAACCCAGTCTGTGCTGACCTGAACCCCACCATAGAAGCCCAGGGCTGCCTGCTGCTGAATTTTCTTATATAAGAGAAAAAAAATAAGCTTTTGTTTTGTTCAGATTTTTTAATCTAATCCTAGTGCATGATAAAAAATCATTTTCACTTTGTTAAAATACAAATGCTCTGTGTCTTTCTCAGAAAGAAGGATAGGGAAAAGGAGAGAGAGACATGGAAAAGAAAGAGGGAGGGAAGAAGAAGGAGAGAAAGAAGGAGAGAGGAAAAAATGGAGGGAAGAAGGGAGAGAGGGAGAGACCCTTAGTTTTAGGAGGAAAGCTGGGATTTCTTTTGTGTGTGGAAGATTTCTACATATCCACAGACTTTCCGTTCTTTGAAAAATAGTTTGAGAGGTCATTAGGAGAAGGTGAAAAACAAAAAGGAAATTTGTCAGCATGCCTTTGAGTAGATCTCCTGATGGTAGAAGCTAGAAAAGCCTTTCTTTGGAGTCTTGGGCCATTTCTAACAGTTTCCTTTGAAATCACTAATTATGCTCTAAAAAAGAAGGCGTCACTGGAGCCAGAACCAGCAGCCAATTACCCATGAGAAATCACTCACTGTGTGGGCTGCCTTTTCTTTCTCTCTGTTCGCATAATTTCAAAATGCAATTTCTAGACTCATGCTAAATACTTGTAAACAAGAGATTGGTTTAATTGCGAGGAGGAACCATTTCAGGGATTAAAAATGAGAGCGGTTTCTTCTTGTTTTGTTGATAACAGAGCCTTCAGTTCTCTCTGGCTTAGACCTCAGGTTTCCTTCCATCTCCACCCAGGCCAGGACCCTCTGTTGCTTTGCTGAAAGGCACCGACTGTAGAAGCAGCTGGCAGATGCTGTTATGGGGTAGTGAAAAGATCATAGCACTTGGAATTAGAAGACTCAGGTTCAAGACCCAGCTCCGGTATCCACCTATGAGGTTGTTCTCATCAACAAGCGAGTCAGCCTTCCTGAACCTCAGTTTCCTTATTTGAGAGCGGTGCTGCCTCCTGGGTTTGGAGGACTCAGTGAGCAATGGGTGCATGTAAGCTGCATTTGCCCTAATGGAATATAAACCTCAGGAGTGCGGTGATTCAGGGACCTCCTGAGCGCAGGAGTGTGCAGAGGTCGATTCTGCCCCAACTGTGTCTTTCTCCAAAAGGAGAGGGAAAAAGAGAGAGAAATAGAGAAGTGCCGTAATATAAACTGTAAAGTGGCCGTGCGCTGCCACCAGCATTGGTTTTCCACAGGAGTGCAGGTTTAGGTTGACCCAGCTGATCTTCCCGGCCAGTCCGTATGTCTGTACTCAAGCTGAGGA